CACACACACAATCACACCCCTTAGAAAACCAATATCTGCCTTTCTACTTGAGACGGAAAGGGAAGAACGTTTTAAAATCAGAATCTGGGCCTTAACCTCAGGAACAAAGACCCCCTTCTCTCCGACTCCCATAAGCCTTCGCAACTGGTCTGGCCAAGGGCCTGGGGGGCTGAGAAGGCAGGGCAGCGGGAGGCGCCCTGAGCGGGGTGGGTGGGTGGGTGGGTGGGGTGTGTGTCTGTGTCTGTGTCCCTGGATGTCTCCACCCAAGACCACGCAGCCCAACCAGTGTTTCTGGCCAGGCTAATTGCTCGCCTGATGACACACAACAGAAGGGAAACGCGCCATAACCACAATAATTGTGGCAGGCGCAGTGTGTCTAGGGAAGGGAGGAGTTCCCAGCCAAAACATCTCTTTCTTTTCTCGGAGACAAAACTGTCTCCTTCCTCACTTCCTTCGCCGGCAACGACATCAAGAAAGCTGCAGAGGTTAGCCGTGTTGGGCTGCAGCGGTAGGACGGCTAGATTCGAGCAGACCAACACGGTTTCCAAGGTATGAGCTTCCCAAGGTGTGTTGGTCTCCAAGGTGCCTCTGGACTCCTCTCTAACGTCAAGAAAGTCAGAGGTCTAGCCTGTCAAGTGGCCGAAAAGAGCTGGGATGCCTTCTGGCTGGGGAAGGAGTGCGAGGAAAAAAGCGCGGAATAAATGGGAAGGAGAGTATATAGTCCTTGGTCCAACACACACACACCCTTCTTTTCTTAAAAAAAAGGGGGGTGGGCAGTTCCTGAAGATGCCCTGGCTTCCCAAGGCAGCGTGGTCCTCCACGCCGCTGCTGTTCGCAGTTAGAAACCCCTTCCTGAAGCGCGACCTCGCCTCGTGCTGCGGCGACAGAAGGCTGCCTGACCGTCTTCGAGGTTTTCCGCCCGTTTGGGAATACGGCTGCTAGTTGCATCAAACGTTTACCCAGAGTATACCAATGGCGGTTTATTTGAATGCGGTTCATTCCAGATTACTTCACCCCGGAGTAAGCGAGGATTGTTATGGTTAAGCCTGTTCCCGGAGTGTCCCGTGCGGTTTTACCCCACGAGTTCAGCCCTCCGCTAGACTTTATGGTTACCAAGATCTACACTTGGCGGACCAAGAGATTTTTGAGAGAGATGAGATCCTTTACTCTCCCGCCCTCCCCAATCGGGTCTTGAAAAGCCTCGGTTGACAGCGGCCTGGTCCGCTTCCTAGTCTCACAGGTTTCCATTGGCTCTGCCCTGGAATTACGAGCTAAAGGTCAGAGCAGAGAAGAGGCTGGAACAGAGCAGAACACACTTTCAATAAAAGACTGTTCTTTCACCTCCGATGCAAGGAATGCAAGTGTGTGAACAAAAACGCAGCCAGACATTACAGGGAAGATCTGGAAAGGGGGAGGGAGGAAGGAGACAACACAATGTCCTCTAGTTTGGCTTGAGCCGGGGGTCACTGGCATGTTGCTTCGGTGGTGGTCGTTTTGCTTTTTCTGCGCTTTTGTCACTTTAACCTTAGGAAGCCATAGATTCTTCTAGAGAGGACAAGACTCTGACCAGGAGCCAGTCAACAGCTCCAGTCACCTGGCAGCTCACTCCAGCGTTTGTATGCTACACCCATTTCAGCCCCAGTGAGGCCAATGGGATCCATTTTATTGCATTTCTGCTTAACTGCATGGATGCGTGGGCTGGAACTCCCTCCCCCCAGTACAAGCCAGGTTGAATTTACCAAAAGAAAGAAGACATCCTAAAACTGCTTCATGTAATTTAATGTTCACTGGATGAAGCCTCCACCACTCTGGAGGATATACAGGGGCAAAATCAGGGTTAAATTCCCACTTATTCAGGTCCTTATTCATCCCAGACCCTTATATGTGGGAGGCACTCTGTTGGAATTGCAAGTTGTTTACACTTCAGCCATTACAGAGTTAAATGTTGTTTGTTAGCAAACAGGATGTTACGTTACATAATGTATTCAACGGCGGGAAAGTTTGTGGGAGTTGTTTACCCTAATGAAGTGACCTGTAACCTTTGTATTGGTCAACTAACATCTTGTTTGTAGAAATGCTTTGATCTAGCATTAATGTATTCACAAGTTTATGGCCCTTTGTGTGAACCAAAGAGGTAGTTCTCTTCTAGAAGCCAAGAGAGATAGAAAGATGTAGCTGTTAGCATATATTACTGAGAGTAACTGCAAGTATGTAACCTTTTATTTTATTTCTTTTATCCAAAGTACCATACCCATGTTTTATTTTGTTTTTATAGTAAAGATATTTTTCTTTTACTAAGTGTGGCTCCTGTGTTTGCAATACAACCATCGACCTTGAATTAAGAATCCCAACACACCCTCACTGGAAACAGTGTGGCAAAAGAAAAATAGGCCACAAATAATTGAAATTGCAAAGCCATCAAGAGAAATCTGCAATACAGGTGCCAATTTACTTAAAGGTCTGGGAAGAGACACAGGTCTCCAGTGGGGTCTACCCAGATTTGAGCCATTTTAGTTCTCTTAATTTCAATGAGACTTAAAATGGCTTTGATACCAGTAAGTGCTCTGAACTGATCACAGTTGCACTAGACGATAGATTTCTTCCAGCAAGGCAGTCACAGCAACTCTTTTCCTTCATGGAAACACCTCAGTCAGGCAAGATGCCCCATACAAACCCCTCTAACACACCAGGAGGAGCTGCTCAGTTAGCAAAGGGGAATTCATAATGACCTTCACTTTCTTTGCCCCTCTGATAGCAACAAACACAAAACAAAAGCCAAATCTCTATTTACAAAGGAATATATATATATTTCAATTCACATAAAAAGCAGGTATTGCAATAGACATTCAACATTGGCAGAAGACATCTACTTAAGCTTCACTTTTGAGACTGTTAGGCCAAATGATTATAGGTTTGTTTTCTTTACAAATCTTAAAGAGAATTAAATAACTCACACACACATACATTCAATATATGTAACTATGTACATACACATATACACCCACATGTATGTCTAGGGTTTATATACCCATGGGTGTGTCTAGAAACACACATCATAGGTGGCATATACCACTCTTGACACCTGAGGAGGGAAAGATACCATTTAGGACTTGTTTTAACCAAGGGAGTGTTTCTCTTGGCCTATAACTCTCCTCTGCCCTCATCCTCTGTAAAGGGCTATGGAACCTTTGTGAACATACATATGCTGACATACACCCCCCACACCTTTGTAGGTTTACTATGAAAGGAACTGAGCACATTTGCAGTTTATTTACTTAATTCTCTGAACCGATTGAAGTTTAAAACCTTGACATTATCTTTAGATGGGAAATAAGAACCTAACTTCATACTGTCTAAATAAACAAACAAAAAACATATTTAGTTAGTTGAATAAGGGGGGGAGGAGTCTCAAAAGAATATATGGGAGAAAGAAAGGTAGACTTATTTTGATCCCTAGAAGAGCAAAAGCTCCTTTCTATACCCACCTGCTTCTCCCCCCCCCTTTCTAATGCCACATGTGCTTCCATCCCGAGCAGTCCCCAAATTAGAAAATGCTCTGAAAAGCTCCAGTGAGTGAGGAGGCCATTCACAGGAAGACAGAGAAGACTACTCATCCCCCTGCCAGGCCCTGAGGGGCTTCTAGGCAGATTTGTGCTTTTTGAACCAACAAGAGACCCTTAAATCAATATCTGTTGGGACACCACAGCACCTGCTATACAGAAATGAAAACAACCCCAACCCCCAATTCTGCACACCCCCTAATGCAAGTCTATGAAAGAAAGGCGTATTTTCCTTTAGCAGAACAGAGACAAATAAAAGAGGCTCCAAAATCCATCAGATGTCATCTTGCTTTCTTAAAAGAAGCAGGAAAGGGGGGAGGGGTATTATTTTACATAGCATTGGTGGGAAAGAACTGCTTCACTTTTAACAGGCTGCAGAATCCTTGGGGGGGAAGATTCTTGGAGTACAAGAAAAAAGAAAGAAAGCAACAGTCTGCTTTGACACTGGTCTTGCCTCACTGATTAATGGGCTTTTTAAAAGGAATTGTTTAATTTCCCTGCATCTCTGACTGGACACTTCCATTTATGAGGAAGATACATTATGCAACACTTAAAAATATTTGTTCAGAAACCTGGAACAGAACTCTAATCACTGGGGGGAGGACTCTACTTTCATTATAACAGCATGAACACCTCAAATATGAGCAATGAAAACACTCTCCTCCCCAACTTTTCTGGCATGTAAGGAATGTAAACAGATGATCTGTTTGGAATGAGCAGGGATGGACTTAAGGGAGCAAAATCTCAGAGAAAACTAAACTAAATGATCAGTTCAGTTCTCCCCCTCCCCCACCTTGACAACTGTATTAAAGTGCATGACAGCAGCTACTCCTTTTCGGAATCTTAAAAAGTACAATTTCTCTTCTCCCTTGCAAGAAAAGGTCATTCAAGTTAATACTTCTTTGCTAAAACATCTTTCAACTGTTTTTAATGGACATTTTAAGCCAGCAATTTTTTTTCTTGAACTGGAGCAACACAAAAGAAAGACAATACTGTAAAGTCAAGTGCTTATTTCAGCTGTCCAGCTAGAACAGTTGAGTATATAGCACACTTGATTGTACAAAGCAATACCTTATAATATAACAATCAAAAAACTGGAGACTTTTTTGGTCCCCAGATGAATACAATATCCCCTATTTGCCATCAACATCACCTTTGAGGGAAGGGAGGAGAAATGATAGAATAAAAAAAAACCACTATAATTAGCTAATAAGGTCATTTGTTATCTATACCTGCTCTTGCCATTGAGGCAAGAGAGATATCAATTCTTTGTTTGTCCTTCTCCAGGAGCCTTAAATTAAAAAAAAACTTAAGAGTTGAAATATATATATATATATGTATATAGATATATATATGTATTTTTCCTTAAATAACATATTTACATCTAATAGAAAATATAACTCTAGCGATAATCTTTTCAACCAAAATTGAAATTGGTGGTGAAAGGGAAGGAATAAAAGAATAATTAAGGACAGATTTTTCAGTTCTGTCCAAGAAAAAAATCCAAAACCAATCAAGCTCTACCAAATACTTTAAATGCCTCCTCTTCTCCAAATGGATTCATCGCTTTTCCTTAAAGAACCCTTGGTCTGTGCTGCTCTCCTTAATGGTAACTGTCAAGAAATTTGAGGTCACATCAGTCACAACCACTTTCTCCAAGTTGTTGAGAGATGGGCTCCAAGCTTCTTCTTCAGGGTCCCCAAGAATCCTGGAGACGGGGATGCGAGCGATGAGGGAAGGCCTGCCAGCCTGGGTCCCTAGCCCATCTCGGTATAAACTGCCTTGGTTTGCAGAACTGTGTAAGATCTTAGGGGCACCCAAATCCAAACCGCTTTGCCCCTTTGGATCCAGGAAATCAGCCCTGTGCTTGGTAAGCCTGGGTGGGTAAGTCTCAGGTGCTCCCAGCTTCATGCCAGCTTCTGCTCTGGAACCGGAAACAGTACTGGGTAATTCTGGCTCCCGTCTCCGGGCTAACTGGATCACACTATGTCCCGAACTAAACTTGGCTGTACCAGGGTTTGCAGCCTCTTCCAACTTCCTGGCTTTTAGGTAATCCACCACCACCTTGTCCCCTGGTTCCACTGATTTTCTCTTGGAGGCCAGGTCAGCAGGCTCAGGCAGGTCTTTGTAAAGCTCTTTCCTGGGCTTTGGGCCTCGCTTTTTTAAGGCTCCTTCTGATCGGTCCTCCTCGACCCCAACCCTGCTCTCCTGAATTGTTTCCACTCGGGAGGTATTGGTGGTCACAGTGGTGGAGCTGCTTTGAGGGGGCAGGGGGATTTGTCTCAGTCCTTCTCTAGCCCGGGAAGTAGAACCCAGTTCCTGGGGGGACCTTCCTGGGTAAGGCATCCGGATTCCCCTAGCAGAGTCACTACGGAATTCATAGGTTTTAGCTTTGGCTTTTGCCTGGGCCTGAAAAACAGATAAAGTTACCAGAGAAGGTTAATAACTTGCCACAAGCATTCCACAACTGCAATTCATAAGCCAGTCCTGGTGTCTGTTTCTCAGGCACATACTGATACCACACAGGAAAAAAAATTCATCTTTATCAATGCATTGGTTTCTCTGCACAGACACTTATCTTGTTCTCTTACCTTTAACAAGAAGGTTTTCGGTTTGGGACCTCGTTTCTTGGGACCATAAAGGTTCATTTCTC